CACTCGGTAATGTTAATTAAGGTCTGTCTCCTCACCAACGCAAAGGATCAAGTAAATGCAATATTGCCAAGTGGATAAACTGCATAAAATCACAAGTTTCATTTTATTTTACTTTGGAGAATAAATTTGTGATATCTTATAAATTATCTTTCTAAGAAGCAAAACTCCACCTCATATCATTCTAAATTCATTTACTTTTATTATTATATTTATTATTATGTTTATTATTGTATTTATATTTACTTTTATTATTATGTTCAGTGACTACTGTTTCACAGGTAAATGTCTATACCATGAAGAAGCAAAAAAGCAACTCAATTTGTCTGATCTGAATAAATAGGTATACTTCATAAAGAACACAGCAGTCAGAAGGATCTGTTTTTCAACATAGTTTAAAATGGGGGCAATCTTATATATACTAGTGTGCTCTGGTTCTAAAACTGTGATAAGGATGACCAAGAATATAGGTCTAGCATTCCCATTCGGCTTTTTGAATAAGTAGCAGTTACAGATACTTGATATAATTACAAGTACACCGAAATTTAAAGACAGAATTTTAAAAAAATTCCTAAAGTCTAGCTAACAGAGTGGTCAAAATCAAGTGGACCCTATTTGGCTGAAATGTGATCATATTCTAAGTCCACAGAGTCAAGTATTTAATGCAGTGAGTTCTTTTACTGCTTTATTTCCAACTTTGGGAAAAATAATTTATTCACATATTCAAATGCTATTTTTTAAGATGCCATTATGATTTACAATAAATAATAATATTGTTTTTATAATAATAAAAAATAATATATTTACTATGGTTTCTGGTCCCAAGAAATTACAGTCTATTTGAGGAGATGACAGTACAACAAATGGAATATTTGGCAAGATAGTACATTAATAAAGTGCTAAACTGAACCATTTTCTAATGTGTAGGATATTTTTTCAGTGAGTTAGATGAAGACGCATGTGTTCTACAGATCAACTTCAGGTCTGGCACAAAGTTAAAGAAAAAGACATTAAGTTAGAGGTCAAATCAGGATCCAAAAAGGATCTTGACAGGCAAGGCTAAAATTTACCAGGATGAAGTTGGGCTTAAGAAGAAAAAACAAATGCCCAAGTAAAATGAACAGATTACAGCTCTTTAGAAGCTAAACTGACAGAGTGAGGGACTTAAAGCTCAGGAATTAAGTAGGGTAACGTAAAGTCAACCCCGCAACAAATGCAACAAAAACCACCGATATTAGCTAAGTGCTTTTGCTGTACAGGGCAATTAACAAACACATGCACTTTTGATTCTCAAAAGAGCCAACAAGTCCTACCCAACATGGTAGTGTTACTGTTTAACTGAGGCTCCATTATAACACGCAACCTGGCCCAAGGTCATATAACTAATAAGTGAAAAGCAGGGAATTTAAGTTCCGCTCTGACGCCAGAGCCTGTATATTTCCTTCTATAATATGCTGTCTTCATTGCTTCGTATTGATGAAACTACTTCTATATAAAAAATTGGGTCCAGAGGGACAATGAAGGAAGATAAGCAAGGCTGACAGAGAAGAAATAGGGTGCCTAGTGAGTTCTCCAATTGAAAACCTAGAGTGGCTTGGAGAGCTAACCATTTGGACCCTTTGTTGTTTATGAGTATAAAGAACTAGGGATACCAAGTAAGTAAAAGGCAACCTGGGGAAGACATAGCCCAATGATTAATTTTCATGGTCCAAAAGGTCTGCAGGCTTCTTTGTGAAACAAGAACATCTATTGTTGCCTGAAAGGGGTCTGGACATGTGGAGTGCCAACTCTCCCTTTTAGTATCACTGCTGCTCTGTAAATATAGGATTAAAAACACAACACAAAGCTTTGGCCACAGCTTCTAGTCACAGCAGATCTATCTTCTTATTTATATCACATGGGGCATTCTCTATGCCCAAAGAAAATGACAGACCACCATTTATTTTCAAATATTAAAAGCTATATTAAACAACTATTATTAGCCTAAACCAAAGAAAAGGCTAGAATAGTCATTCATTCTTTTGTACTTGTTTTCTGCAATTAAAGTTAGCAGGTAAATTAAGAGGAGTCATCCCCAAAGTAGACACCACATGAAATGAAAATTGCCTTGTTTCAGGCTGATCTTTCTTGGCACTGAAAACGATTTTATTGGAGCACATTTGTTAAGAAGGTTGATTTTGGAATACCACATCCTAATGAAGTCCTCTCAAGGATTCAAGGATTCAAGCAGTTTTCTGGGCTTTCCCTGGTTCTAACAAAGGCAAAACAACCCACTAAGGATTTCAGAAAGGTTTCACAAATTTAAATTTTCAGAAACAGGTATAATTCTCAATTTCACATTTAAAAAAATCTGCTAGAAGCAAATATTCACTCCCAGGAAGTTACCTAGCAACAATTATAGGGCAACTGCTGAGGTGCTATGTAGAATGAAAAGGGAGAGGGGCAGGGTGGTGAGAAAAGAGAAGCAGGGAGCTGGTCTCTCCACTCCCAGAGCTCGGGGCTGCAGGGGCAGTGAAACTTGAGGTTTGTAGTCACAGGTGAGCCACATGGTAATTGTCTAGATGATCCACATGGTAAATGTTCCTCAATAATGGCTGATACTTCTCAAAACCTCTGCTGTTTATTACTGAGAAAAATTAATGCAGGATAGTAAAAAAAACAAAAACAAAAAAACCCAGCCTCTCTGGGTAAAGCCATGAAATACCACAGGAAGCAGAAAACAAAATGAGCTAACATGACAGAAGGTTCATGGAGTTGAGAGATGGGAGCTCATCAGGGTTGGAAGTGGAGGGCTTGGGCAGGTTGAGAGCAAAGGAAGTCCCCAGGGACTATGGATGGCCAAAGAGCAGGGCAGGGGTTTGTGCACAATAGTAGCTGGAAGGAATATGAGAAAGAACACTTTCTGAGTTAAGCCACTGACTCATGCCTACCAGAGTGCTGAGTCTATACTAATTCTCACACAGCTGGGGCATGTCTCTTGCCCCTTTCTGAGTAAGCAGCATAATACTCTCATAGCCTTAATCCTTTAGCCCTGACAAGTGAGGCTAATTTAGAAAGCAGAGTCATGATCTTGATCTGTGCTCAGGAGAAGAGAATCTTAGAATTGCTGCTCGATGCCCACTGCCCTGAGTGGAGCCCCACTTAGCAAGCAGTGCCTGGCTGAACACAGATCTATTGGCCCAAGGTGAGACTGAGAAACAAACTCTCAATTCTGGCACTGTGGTCAGCGGGTGGCCATCAGAGGCGCACTGGTCTGGACTCTCAGGATTCCAGGGCTCCTTGCCAATGTTGGTGTGCTAATTCTTGCTTAGGTCTTCTTAGGAGCTATGGAAGCCTCTTCTGTTCCCTAAATGATGGTCACAGATAAGTACCAGAACATGCTTTTTGCCACAATGACAAAAGTAGTTTTTGTGAAACAGGCATTTAATTTGGGTTACCAGCCAGAGAACTCAGTGTCATGCATGTTGAAACCTACCAGAAAACAAATCAAAACAAAAAAGCACAACAAGACAAATAAAGAAGCTACAGGTGCTTTTAAGATGAACAATATGAATGATTAACAGTTATCAAAGCACTGTCCCAAAGAATCAAAAGCCATTTCCTTTCTTATCTCAAATTTATTGTTTCATTCTCTCCTCTCTCTCTCTCCCTCCCTGTCAGTTAACAAACACTGAGTGATGACAACATGTCAAACAATATACTGTCAATAAATCCATTTTGATGAGGAACACCAACTCTCCCGGGTTAGAAAACCTGGATGCATGCTCCGTAGAAAGATATCCTGACTCAAAGGATACCTATACCTTCTTTTATTAATCGCTACTTTGTCAGCAGAGCGAGGAACCCAAACTAATTTCAGTATCAAACAGTTTGTACTTAGAAATGTCTCATTTCAAAGAGACAACACTGTCTTAAGGCAGGCAAGACTATTACTTAGAAACTGTCACCTCAGATTTATATAACACTTTAAAGTTTACAAAGAACTCTCAATATATTTCACTCGATCCCCACAGTAGCACAAGAGAGGTGAATATGATTACCCCTGTTTAGAGGAAACTGATGCAACAAGAATAAGGCACTTGCCCAAATTCTCCCAGCTAGTAACCAAGAGAGGTAAAACAGAATCTAGGTTCGTTTGACTCCAAAGCCAGTGCTATTTTTATTTTACCAAAATTTCTCTCAGGAGGAAAGATAACATATTCTTGGAATTTCTTTTCTGTAGCATCCAATGGACAAATAAAGCACTCACTTATGTTGGCTAACTAAATAAGTTTTCTCAGTGATATAAGTGAACTTTTATCAAAACTTCTCATTTAAACTCTGTAAATAAGAGTTTCCACAAAATATCCAGAAATTGTGCATGCTACCACTCCGAAATGTAATACTTCTGAACTAAAGCTGTCTGCTCCAGTATCCCAGGTGGCCAGGGATCACAGAGTGACTTAAGAGAAGGGGAAAGCAGATCTTGGGTCGAAAGCTTGTGCAGGATCCATATGACAAGGAGCAATTTGCAGTTAAAGACCAAACGGCAATCAGTTCTCACAGCTATTTGGCCAGAACTCTAGACTATGGCAGTCTTGGCTTCAGACTGCTCTTCCGTTAGTTAAGGATTTCTTCAAATTTCACAGCTCAGGCTTTTGTTAATGTACTTACCTCTTCTTGTACTCAACACAGAAAGTTACCTTTCTGTTACTACTATTCAGTTCCCTTCAATTTATGTAAGCAGTTACAGCTGCCCAGGAGTTCATCCATTCTCCTTGTTTTAGGATTAGAGAAGGTCATTGACCAAAGAGATTTCCTTTCTAAGGCTTTTTCAGCTCAATTTGAGTTTTGTAAGTGAAGTCGAGCACCTCTGTTTTTCTCCCTGATGGGGGGGGGTGTGAGCTTTTGCTATTCAAGCCTGAATACCCATACAATTTTCTTATGGTCCCCCATATGGAAACCATAGGGCAGAAATGACTCACAAATGGAACGTGAAAGACAGATTAAAAAACTATACTTACTTAGGAGGAATTCGTGAAACTGTGTTCACATTTGTGGTTGGGACTACTACTTGAAGAATGTGTTCAAGGGCTGTTAATCCACCAGCAACTTGAAATGCAATCTGATCTGCTACATTCTAGACAGAAACACAAATAGAAATTAGCCCAATTTCCCAGGCATAAAATTTTCACCAAATGAAATATTTAGTTGTAGTATCAAACATTCTGTTGGTTCCATTATTCTACAAATATTTATTGAATGTTTATGCAGTGCTAGGAACAGTAGGTCAAAACTGGTGAACACAAAAGAGACAGTCGCTGTTCCCCCATGAAGCTTAAAATTTAGTGGATGAGAGCAACACCAATCAAATAATCATAAATAAAATAATTTCAATTATGATAAGTACCTTAAAGAAAAAGGAAAGGTGCTCTATAAGAATAATGGGGAACAAACTATATACTGGAGAAAGGGTCAGCACAGGCTTCAAAGCTGAGGGTTTGAAGCAGGCAAAAGAAAAGGGGAAGGGATAGAGCACTCCATGAAGAGGACAAAATCTTTTTTAAACAGAATTTTTAGCAATACTTTGAAGGACCACATCATTTTGTGATGTTAATTTCCACCTAACAAGACAAATGGACTGCCTGCCACAAAGCCTTCCTGTCCTATTATTTTTCTCTTCAGTAATAGAAGATAATCTAATATCTAACCATCTACATGTATTTGTTCACCACTTCAGCTATTTAGGGAGGATATTAAGTTACCATTTTAGAACTCAACCTATGATTATTTCTTTCTGTAAACAATTTCTGAATTGTTTACAAATCGCGTGAAAGGAGCATCTCTGAGTTCTTTGCATTGCTTTGGCATGGGGAGAGATGAAAGCCATTCTACGGTACACCCTATTAGTTTTTAACACATACACAGAATCATTGCATCATATTCTGAAAAAAAGTAGGTCAGCAACCTGTGATGGGCTACATTGTGGCTCCCTGCCCCCAAATTCTTATGTTGAAGTCCAACCCCTAGTACCTCAGCATGTAACTGTTTTGAGGAGGTCTTTGAAGAGGTGATTAAGTTAAAATGAGGCTGTTAGGGTGGGGCCCTAATCCAAATGACTGGTGTCCTTATAAGAGGGGGAAAAGACATCAGAGATGCAAGTGCACAGAGAAGAGGCTGTGTGAGGCAGAAACCTGCTATTTATAAACTAAGGAAAGAGAGACCTCAGGAAAAACCAAACCTGCTAACACCTTGATCTTGGAATTCCAGCCTCCAGAATTGTGAGAAAATACATTTCTATTGTTTAAGCTGCCCACTCTGTGGTACCTAGTTATGGCAGCCCTAGCACATGAATACATAACCCCCCTATTATACCATCACCTTATGTTTCTTATAATAGTATTCTACAGTTGATGAAGCCTTGAAATATCTTTGAAGTACTAAAGTATTTTTTTAATTATAAAATTTTTTATTATGTTATATCAGTCACCATGAAGTATTTTTTGGCAGGAGAGGATACATAGAGGAGAGATATAAGTTATACATAGCTCTGTCAAACATGTTTGCCTGATTCTTCTGATGTTCTAAGCACAATGCTCTGCTTGATGTGGACTATTGATTACTGACTGGCTCTAGTACATGTCTGGACTTTGGTAGTATAGTACGTTAGTCATTCAACTACTCACTACATGCACAATAAAATACAGTTTGAGACTATAATAGCTCTATTGTAAATCCTAGACAAGAACTCATACTTTTAGGATAGATAACTAAGAATTTTTGTTATTAATGAAAAAAAAAGTTTCTCTGCAATAAAACTAACAATCAAAAAAATTGAAAAACCCAGGTGTATTCAGTAATTTGAAACCATAATGCTGTTACCATTCTTTCTTATGCTAGGATGTCAATATGATTAGAAAACAATAATAAATTTTGAAGATCTTATTTATTTATTTGAGAGAGAGAGAGCAAGCGTGAGCACATGCTGGAGGAGAGGCGTGGGGGAATGCTAAGCATGGAACCTGACTCAGGGCTTGATCTCAGCACCCTGAGATCATGACCCGAGCCGAAACCAAGAGTCAGACGTCTGACTCTTGGTTTCGGCTCGGGTCATGATCTCAGGTCTCAAAATCGAGCCCTGCATGGGATTCCAAGCCCAGGAAGGAGTCTGCTGGAGTTATTTTTCTCTCTCTCTCTCCCTCTGCCCCCTCCTGGCACTCTCTCAAATAATAAATCTTTAAAAAAGTTTTTTGTATTAGCATATAACACAAAGAAAACTACACTAATCATAACTGTGTAGCTAGATGAGTTATGACAAATTTAACACACCCTGTATCAACTCCAAAATAAAAAATAAAGCTTTATAACATCCCATAATATCCCCGATACCCATCACATTCACTCTCTCTCCTTCTTCCCCAAATGTAAAGGCTATCCTGATTTTTAAAATCACAGATTCCCTTTGTCTTCTTTTCAATTCTATAAAAATGGAATCATACTTTACATATTCCATAGAATCTAAATTTTCTTGCTCAATTTTTTTTCTAAATTATCCATATTACTGCCTATACCAATATTTCATTCCTTTTCCTTGATGGAATATATTATTCCTTCATCTGATTATATACCTCAACTTATTTTTTTTAATTGGAAAAATTTACTTTAGTGTCTTTTTTTCTACCTTCTGCATTAATATCACTTTTAACATTACAGGCTGAAAATGACTACTATCTTAATATCTTACTCAGCTTATTTAAATGTTTCACTGCTAACTGACATTTGGATTGTTTCCACTTTCAAACTCGGGATGCTGCTGCTATAAACATTTTGGTACATGTATTTGTGCAAATGTGACATGCAGTTGTGCAGCATTTATGCTGTATATACACTGGTTCAACTTTATTAGTTATTGCCAAATGGCTTTTTTTTTTTAAGATTTTATTTATTTATTTGACAGACAGAGAGAGAGAGAGCACAAGCAGGGGGAGCAGCAGAGGGAGAGGGAGAAGCAGACTCTCCGCAGAGCAGGGACCCCGACGCGGGACTAGATCCCAGGACTCTGGGATTAAGACCTGAGCGGAAGGCAGACGCTCAACCGAATGAGCCACCCAGGCGCCCCCAAAGGCTTTCTAAGGCATTTGGAACAATTTGTGTACACAATGTGTGCAGTAATAATTTCAGTTATTCTACATTCACACCAAAATTGATTTTATCGTTTTTTTTTTAACTTCAGTCATTCTAATGGCGTATAATGGCATTTCATTGAGGTTTTTATTTGCCTTTCCCTGATAATCAGTGGGATTGAACACCTTGTGTTTACCGAGTAGTTTTTTAAATTGAGACACACTTTACAATTGGATGAAAGGCTCAGATCTTAAGCATACCTTTCAAATAAATTTGAGAAATGCTTATCAAGACCCAAACACTTCCATCACCTTAGAAAGTTCCCCCATGCCACTTTTACAGTTGATGCCCCCTCCTTGGAGCAACCACAGATGTGATTTATAGTACCACAGATTACACACCAAAAGCAAAAAAGCAAAAATAAATAAGTGGGACTATATCACACTTAAAAGCTTCTATGTAGCAAAGAAAACCATCGACAAAATGAAAAGGCTATCTACTGAATGGGAGAAAATATTTGCAAGTAATATTTCTGGTAAAATATATAAAGAACTCATACAACTCAAGAGAAAAAAACAAAACAATCTGATTAAAAATGGGCAGATGTAAATATACATTTTTAAAAGACATACAGATGACTGACAGGTACATGAAAAGATGTTTAATTAACATCATTAATCATCAGGGAAATGCAAATCAAAATCACAATGAGATATCACCTGACACCTGTTAGAATGGTATTATCAAAGAAAGAAAGAGAGAGAGAGAAAGAAGGAAGGAGGGAAGGAAGGAAGGAAGGAGGGAAGGAAGAAGGAAGGAAGGAAGGACGGACTAGTGCTGGTGAGGATGTGGAGAAAAGGGAAACCCTGTGTACTGTTGGTGGGAATATAAATTGGTGCAGCCACTATGGAAAACTGTATGTAGGTTCCTCAAAAAATTAAAAATACAAGTACCATACGATCCAGAAATTCCACTTCTGAGTATTTATCTGAAGCAAATCAAAACACTAATTTGAAAAAATAATATGTACCCCTATGTTCAATGCAGCATTATTTACCATAACCAAGATGTGGAAGCAAACTAAGTGTCCAATGATAAGTAAAAGGTATACAGAAGATGTGGTATATAAATACACGGAATATTACTTAGCCACAAAAAAGAATGAAATTTTGCCATTTGTGACAACATGGATAAACCTTGAGAGCATTATGCTAAGTGAAATAAGTCAGGCAGAGAAAAACATGTGGAATCTTAACAAAAACAACAACAACAAAAAAGGCTCACAGATACAGAGAACAGATTAGTGGTTGCAAAGGATGGGAGGGTGGGGGAAGTGGGATGAGTGAAGGGGATCAGAAGGTAAGAAGAAGAAACAAAATACAGGTTAGTTTTGTCTATTGTAGAATTTCATATAAATGAGATCACATAGAGTGTTTTCTGGATTTAATGTGATAGTGAATGGTTATCCCACCAGCAATGTTTCTATTGCATCTGGTACCATGGAAACATCTAAAGCATAAGGAATACAGCAGAGGAACACTGAGTCAAGATAGGGAAGTAAACACATATAAATACCTCCTTTTTTCTTATACTCAAAAGAAGTAGGAATTATAGATAAAATATTTAATAATGTTAAAAATGCAGAACCACCTTAAAAAATAAATGCAGCAGCTCTGTGAAACGGGAATGGAAAAGCTCAAAGTAAAGCATAGGGCAAGGGTCCAACTTTCAGCAGATTCTTAAAAGAATATTTGCCCTTCTAGACTTTTCCCTCTTCCTCAGCTTCCACACTGATTCAGCCTCCAAGTTCTGATTATTCCATTTCTGTTGTAGCTCTCAACTCTTGCCTACTCCTAGCATGTCAGTTCAGGCTTTCACGGTCTCTTGCTTGATGTACTGCACCAATTACCTAATTAGTATCTTTGGATCCAGGCTCACCCCACACCAGCCTATTCTCTAGAGCAGTGTTTCCCAGATACTCTAAGATCAAAGTCAGAGTTTTATTCCTTTCCTTTC